AATTGGCCAACGCATGGGTTGCCCGTGTGAAGATGCGTTTTTTGCATAGCTCCCCGCAGACTTTTGTTGCTAACTGCACTGGTTTTTCCGGCAGATGCTTATAGCTAAAAGAATTTCAGACTGGCCGCCAGAACTGTCAGGAAACATTCCCTCAAAATTCCAGTCTTCTAGCTTCTCACGTTCTCGAGTTAGCAACTTACCCGAAAGAAACTTTCACGGGCCTGTACGTAGGTACCACGCTCACTTGCGGGCAGGGTTTAAACTCGCCAGTACCCACTTGGACAGAGAACATCACCCTAAGATTTCAGCGTTCTAACTTCTCAGATTCCCGAGTTACGAATTTACCCGAAAAAAACTTTGGCGGGTCTGTACGCGGGTACCACGCGGGTGATGGCGCCCATTTTGGGGATTGGGGTCGGCACGTGCATGTAGATCCCGAAATTTCAGCCCTGCAGATTTTATAGGTCTTGAGATGAAACTGCGTGACAGACGTACACACAAACACACGGACACACAGACAAGCCCTCGTCAATATGCGTTTTTGCAGTGCATAGCAGCAAAAAACGCATAATGAGCCCCCTGTCTCTGTTACCGGTCTTGCAACATTTTTCAAGAAAATAATACCGCTCCTACAAATTATCGACGTGACAATCTAAGTTTCCCTTTCTATATCAGCAAATGCTATTAATTCCTACCAGTCCCATGCGCACACAGCCCAAATTTGCTTGCTCAACCTTTTTCAACTTACCAAGTTCTTTATCGCTTTTCAATTTTGCCTTCAAACGAGCCTTTGCTTTTAGCTCCAGCATTTCCTAGAAATATTTAAAAATTTTAACTTGAAGCAAAAAATCAGGATAAAGTAAAAGCAGTTCAGGAAGTTTCGAAAGCACCACTAAGGACTTCACTAAAAAAATACGGAGCATAGTCACTAATGAAAGCTGAAAAGCGAGCGCTGGCTGTAACGGAGACAGTGCTTGTACCTGAAGGTGCAAAATACGCCCTCTTTTGACCATATAAGCAATCAGACTTTTCTTTAACTGAGCAGCATGAAGATATCAAAAACGAAAAAATAAAGACTGAATAAGGCATGTTGCTTATCCTGCCGTCAATCGATGAATATCATATATCATTGAGTTTTTGCAAGAAAGCGCATGGTCATTCGGATGATTCGCAAACAGTTGAGGCGTATAGACAGAATAAGAAAGGTAAGTAAATGCAAGTCAACGCCATTGACGGATCCAGAGGAAGCGGAGTAGTAGAGTTTGCGATGTTCGGACTACCGGGAGGAGGGAAAGGGAGGAAGGAGGGGGGATGGGGCAGGCAAAATTGGCAAAATCCCCCCTTCTCTCCTCCCTCAGGAAGCTGACCTGGATCCATCTATGGTCAACGCAGAACAGCCTGGCATAGCAGCACCCAGCATACAACTACATTTAATTAATACTGGAACGTCTGTAAGGCCGAAAACCCAAGCAATTCTGCAATAAAATACCAAAACAATCAAAAAAAAAATTCAAAATTTAGGCAGGCATGGACCGGATTTACAAAATTAGCCTGAATGTGGACCTATCTAGATCGTGAAATAGGTCACGTAGCTTTTACGTAACACCGCCACGTCAGGTCATGTCAACAATCGACTTTTCGATATTACTTAGATGAAACCACAAGTCATCATGCGTAGCCTTATATAGGCCTGACGTAGTACCTAGATCAGGAATAGATCACATGACTTCTACATAAAATCGCTATGTCAGGCCACATCAACAATGGAATTTTCGATAATACTTAGATGAAACTACAGCTCGTCAAGCGTTGCCTTACATCTGCTTCAAGTGATACTTGTACTGCGAAGTAAGTCACGTAACTCTCACGTAAAATCAACACGTCAGGTCACATCAGCAATGGAATTTTCGATGTTACTTAGATGAAACTAAAGCTCGTCAAGTGTTGACTTATGTGGACATGAGGTAATACCTAGACCATGAAATAGGTCACGTAACTTTTACGTAATATCACCACGTCAGATCACATTATCAATGGAATTTTCGATACTACTTAGATGGAACTACAGCTCGTCAAGTTAAAGTAACCTTCATTTAGACTATACGTTTGCAAAAATTGCTTTATTAGTTCTGCTTTCAGTGCAAATGTGAGAGCTGTGACCTCACGCAATGCTTTACGGTGCTCGTCAGAAAGAACCTTCTCCATAATCTTAACATCATTTAATGATTTCGAGGTTTCTGCTGCCAAGGGTAAGGCTTTTTTTTTTTGTTTCACTAACACTCACCATCGCAGTTTTACCGCTCTCAACAATACAGTTCGCGAATTCTTGTTCGCCGCCTTTTTCCACCGCATCGCTTGCCCGTTGCCTTTTAATCGATTCTAGGACCTTCGCTGCCTGTAATTGAGACTTCTGAGCAGCAAAAAAAAAAAGAAAAGCCAGAAATTAAGCAATCCAACGTCCCCACATAAAACTTACCCCCACATAGGTGTTGCAGAAATTTTAAAGATACAAAGCGAGTGAGTATCCCCGGCTAGAGAACTGGAAGAGAACGGGGGCCTGAAATCTTCTATATGTTAACATATGCAGTTTGTTTGGCGTTACTGGCCCACGGCGGAGAGGAACGCAATCGAATTTTGATAATTAATGAAAGACTGGAAGTGCTATTTGGATCTCCCAAGTAAGCAAGCCTGTATGTACAGTGACTTGGTAGCTTCTCTGTGTTTCATCCTTGAGATACAAACACAAACGGCAGAATCGGTGCGAAATGGGGAGAAAATCATCAGCAAATTTCCACCTCTTTTAGAAGTGAAGGTGCTGGCCTGTGACCCAGAAGACAACGTTAATATCCTCCCACTTACAGTAATGGTCAATGTGCTTGTATTCACCGGTATCGATAGCTAAAAAGAAAAACCCGCAACAACAAGATACGCTCGAAAACGCTCGCAGCGAACAATCAAACTGACTAGAAATATCCCATTCTTGCTATCTGAGCTGTTTCAGTTCTACAAGACGACTAGAAAAAGGCTCAGTAGCCTACAGATTAAGGAAGCGAAAATAAGTGTGGTTGACTTCCGCAATGCTTTCGGTGTCCAGGAACGGGCCTTGAGCACTCGCGAGGCAGATGGGACTCAACAACAATACCGTATTGCTAGCAGGTGTCCACACTGTCTTTCTAATTTATATGTTGATAGACACAATAGCGCAGCCCGGAATCTTTATGTTCTGCCGGTGATACGGTTTTCCCTCAGTCCATTATTCCAATCAGATCTCAACCGTACGCGAAAATGAGTCGGCAAACTCCTATGTGGCATGGTGCTAGCGACACGAGCCCAGTGGGCCAGATATGGTCGTCTTCGATCACCACGAGGGCAAGATATTCGTGGTGGAGGTGAGTGTTGCCCATGCCACCGGATTGGAGTCCCAGCGTCGGTTGAAAATTAACCGGTACACGGTCAATTCATCCAAGGAACAGGCCTCTCCTTCTTCCTCCTCCC